CCATCAGCAAAATTAGAGGTACCAACAACGAGGGTAAATAAGTCTCCCCTCGTTGCCAAAGAATTAGATGACTGAGATTGTCAATGACAATCTCAGATTTCAGCTGCCAAAGGACTTTATTTTCCTTCTTACATCATCCAATAATATTCAAACGAGTCTCCTTCCACATCGCAGAAAGTCCCCAAATTTCTTCCAATAAAGATCTTCAAACGTTGAAGAAGAGCAGAAAATTCAGCGAAAATCGATTGTAATTCCAATGAAGCCAGCAAAGAAAAACATGATATTACCGTTCCAATGTCTAACAACCCCTCAATACCTACCTCACTAAGATTATTAAATGAGCTTCCATCAAAATAAGTTTAAAGCAACCCTGAACAAAGGGGGGGGGGGGGGGGGTTTCAGTGTCTCTCTCTCAATATTTGCTCCGGTGTTCTTTTGGCCATCTTATATCTTGTTTCAATCTCTCAAAGAAAGCATTGTAATTGTAATGTCCACACTCATGACATATATATATATATGGTCACAATAGGGTAAACAAAGACATTTTTTTTTTTTTATAACGGTAAACAAAAACTTTTTGCCATCAAAATATAAAGACATTTGCAATTGTAGGGATGGCAATGGACTCGGACCCAACCTGGGATCCAACAGGTAGACCTAATCTGCATCCGGGTCCAAATTTTGAACCCGAACACTATTTGGGTTCGGTCTGAGTTCGATCAGGTCCAATCGGGTTTGGTCCCAAGTTATATTTTTTAGCTTATATAGCTGTTGTGATTTTTATGTCGGGTTCAATTGGGTTCAGTTGGATTTGGGTTAGGTCCCACATTATATTTTTTAATCCAAGTTTGGGTCCGGTGACTTCAAGTTTGGGCCGAGTCCAGCCAGACCCGACCCATTGCCACCCCTATAGCATTAAATGTTTGGTTTTTGACTTTCAATATGCATCATACTAGTCCCGGTTGGATCCCTGAAATTTGAATAAACTGTTGAACTTTGAACTCAAAAAATCACGTACTATGGTGGTTGTAATACGGTGGGATAAAGAGAAAAGGCACGTTACCGTGTTGTCGGTTTCATACTTGTCTTCCTAATAAAAAATTGGGAGTCATTTAATAATAGGCATTGTGGTATCTTCTAGGAGTTTTCGATTCAATGGAAGAAACTTAATTTTAATTTAAGGGCATATTTAATACGCGTGAAAATATTTCTGTCCAGAAAAGACTTCATCATCATGTGATTACATATAGGAGTTTTTTACACTAATTAGTCCCAACATATTTTTTCTAACCAATTAAAAATTGTTAGAATTTGTGGGAACATAGAATGGAGAGACCATGTTAGAATTTGTGGGAGCATAGAATGGAGAGACCATATTAGAATTTGTGGGAGCATAGAATGGAGAGACGATGTCAGAATTTGTGGGAGCATAGAATGGAGAGACTATATTAGAATTTGTGGGAGGATAGAATTGAGAGAGGACATAACAGTTATGTGGTTCAGGCCGAAGCCTTACATCCACGTATCCAAAACCTTAACCGGCTACATCTTCATTATATTGGGTTTTTGTTTTTCCCTTGTGAGTACAATCATATAAAAAAAATGCTAATGAAATTGAGCTTCTATACAAAAGCCCACATCTTAAAAAAATACCACCCATTTTTTTTTTTTCCTTCTCTACTTCTTCAATTTTTTTTTTTCTATTTATATATGGAAACCCAATATTTCCTCGTGAAGAAGAAAAATTTCTTCAGAAAAAAAATCTACACCTTAACAATCTGAAGTCCAAAGTACCCCAAAAGAAGAGTAAAAGAGCCGACGGGTAGGCGTTTCAGTCCGAACAAATACTAGAACAGATGGGCAGGCGCTTCCTCGAGCAATGGGCAGCCGTATCAGGGGACGGGCAGCTATCGCCAAAAAAACCTTTGCCCTCAAGCAATAGTGAAGGGCCTCTGCTTTCGTTAAAAAAAAGGGGGTTCTGGCCTGCTTCAAAGCTTCGATATTAATGGCGTCCCCCTCTCCACATACCACCAAATGGATAAGATCGATGCTTCTGTAAATGGATAAGATCGATGCTCTTGATCGACTACTAACAAGGAGTGTACGCCATATGGTTTCTTAGTTGAATTGAATATGCGGAGTGGTGGGTATGTAAGGGTGAACGACTTGTTGGAATTGAACCTACAAAGACTCGCTAATGTTCCCCTAAAAGCACATACCACCAAAAAAATTGCTAGAGAAAGAGGGTAACCAAGTTTTTGCAACCATTTTTAAGGCAACAAACAACAATAGGGTTTCAATCGATGAGTGAGATTGATGATTGCAATGAAAATTTGAGAGATCGATGATTGCTCCAATCGTAGATGAAAATAAATTGATTTGATTACTGACCTTCACAAAACAAGCAATCTGAGCCGTAAATCAAAACTTTCTTCTTCGCTCTGATACCATGTTAGAATTTGTAGGAGCATAGAATGGAGAGACCATGTTAGAATTTGTGGGAGCATAGAATGAAGAGGGTATAAAACATTTACGTGGTTCAGACCGAAGCCTTACAAAAATCAGTTAATATGAAAAAACTCGTATACCTAATTATATGAATATATTTTTTCATGTAAGTATTTTCACCGGTACGAGCTTTTTGGCTAAGCATTTTCACGCGTACAAAACGTACCCTAAATTTTATCATGTTGCAATATTATGTAAATCTAGGTATTGAAATGGTAACATGGAAGGTTAGTGCTAAGATTGAGTGATGTGCTTTTCCCTGCCTTCCAAATGGCCTCCATAGTGCATGACCGCATGTGCTACCCTCCCTTTTGCAACACTTTCAATGTAGTAATCTCATAATCCTGATTCTAAATGGTCAAACAACAAATATTTTCAAGTACTAATATATTAGTTTAACAGGCATGAAACACATTAATGATCTGAAACACAGTTGTTCTCCTTTCCAACTAATAATATAGGTTAATTTGTACAACTAACCCCCCTCTCTCTCTTTCTTAAATGAGTATGCCTTGTTCTTTGAGAAATTTATCAATAAATGCTTAAAGGACAAAGTTTACGGTGTCAACCTTATATTATAGAAGCGAGGTATGCCTCAAAAATTCAAATCCATTAAAAAAAGTTATTTTGATGCTAAAGAACTATACACTTGATCAGCTCGTCCTTGAGATGCTAGGACATTCAAAATAAAGAATAATTTTAAATTTTAAAAATAGTACATATTGTAACACATTATCTAGACCGTTCATATTCAAATGTTTGTAAAATTACTTGACCTACATCATTTTTTTAAAAGTGCGGTTTGTATAGTGCCGAGGCTCTAAGCAACTAAAGTAAAGCACACCTTCAAATAGTGTCAAGAAATATGGTTTCAATACTGAAAATCTTTGTGATAGTCTTAAAATATATTTATATCTTTAATTATAAAATTTAAAGCTTAAAAAATAGTATAAATAGAGCAGATATATGAGAACTTTAAAATCTTGAAAATTGACGGTCTAAACATGCATTACAAGATGCACTATTTCCAAAACTTGAAATCTATTTTTTTTCTCTTGTCCATACATCTTGATGTCGAGATGACAATTTTGATGATGTTTGGGCATCAAAACAACATCTTCTAGTTAAATTTTTGAGGTGAGCTCTAATTTGATTGTTTAGAGCCTCATCTATATATAAACTTTTTCTTTTTTTAATTTTTAATTTTATAATTAGATTTCAAAAAGGTTTTTAGGTTATTGTTGAATTTTTTGACACTAAAATTACCTCCTTCCCCAAGGTTTGAAGCTGCATCTTACTTGGATCGTTTAAGGTTGAGTCCCTCTGCAAACTCGACCGAGTTAAAAGATGAACTATTTAACTTTTTATTTTATTTTTATTCATTTAATTGTTTTTATCAATATACATATGATCATGAGTTGGAATAGTTGAAACTTAAAAGGAGTAAAATGTTAAATAAATAACCTTTTAGGTGCATTTTGATCAATTTTTCTCCTTTTTTTTTTTTAAAAAAAAGAAAAAAACTATAAGAATTTTTAGCTTTTTAAAAATTTTATACTATGAGGTTTTTTATCACAATCACCCTTAACCATCACATATATTAGTAGCTAAGGATATGTGACAAAGTTCAAGATAAATTTTCTTGAACTTCGATATGATGAATGATGCACCCATGTCTAATTTTACATTCGATGGCTCAAGATGATTGCATCCTAATACCAATAGCAAAATATTGAAGAATCTTATTGTTTACTTTCTCTAAAACAATATCAAGAGTAAATTACGCATACCATGTGATCCAAATTGGCCTACTTGGATGACCCACATTTACGAATATGAGGTGGGCCAATTTTGGGTCCCTTGTGGTTCATTTGCTATTGTTGTGGGGATGCAGTCGACTCTAAATAGTTGGAAAAAACCTCTAATGATGATGAGGTGGTCCAATTTTTTCATTTTAGTGTACGACAATATGAGTTTTTTATATGTTTGTTGTAGCGGTGTTAATAGGCCTAGGCTGGCCCATGGGCCGTTGAATTGGGCCCAATTTTGTTGTAGGGCTTTGTAGGCATGAAGTATTTTTTGGGTTAGGCTCGGCCTGACTTTTTTATATACTTTGTGAAAAATTTCCCTCGTATAAAGCTTGGCCCAACTTGATTATGGTTCATGAATTCAAGCCCTTGGTAGGGCCCAAAAATTAAACTTAATTTTTGGACCCAGGACTAACTTCCATAGTTCAAGGCTGGGCTTGGGCCAAGTAGACCTAAATCTGAGCCATTAAGAGTCGTAGTTCGTTGTCAAAACCCAACCCAAAAAGAGTAACCTCATGTTCTCCTGAGTTGCCCATGTTGTGTAGCATAATCCAGTCGGCTCGTTTTATGTTTTTCCTTGGAATAACGTCCATAGGGGATGCATTGTGGCATAAGAGAGAATACTTATTTTTTGAGACTGTTTACATAGATACTATTTATCTTTTGTACATAAACGTCACTATCTGTTTTTTTTAGTAGATCAATGGGGAATACAAGCTCCTACATGTTTTTAGTAATAATTAACAGTTTTCGAATGCATTAGTAGGAATGGAAACCTTCGTTTTTTAAAATAATTAGCAGTTTTCAAATGTATCAGTGGGAATGGAAACCTAGATCAGTTGCTTAGGCTCAAATGGTACTACTACCACGACCTCAACCCCATTCTTTAAAAAGTGGTATGTTAGTGGGTCAAAGATCTCTTTATAAGGCTCGACAATACTACCACCAATGGTGCAGGCCATTTTCAAAAAATCGTTATCGTTCCCACCCATTAAATGTCAAATCCAAAGTGTTGGGGCGAGTCATAAAATCCCATAATGGTTTTTTTTGGAACTTTATGTTTAATAGCAGTATTATCGGTGCTTATTTTGAAATTTAAAAAACAAGAATAATGTTGATCTCTATATAAAAAAGGATAAATAATCTTTTTGAGACAATTTCCTAATTTGTTGGGATAATTAACGTATCTTTCTCAAAACAAAAAATAATCTAAATATTTATGAATTTCATGCTGAGGTCTTCTTTTGACACAAAACATCAAGTACCAGCGAGGGTATTTTCGGCAAAAAAAAACTGAGGGAAATGGGTAGCTCTCACAAAATGGGATTAATGTTGGGGTTCGGACAAAAAGATTTTGAAGTCATTAATACGACCTTCTCAATAAACGAGAGAAATTCCCTCTAAATTTTTTAAACGTTTAAAAATAGAGGTACTTCGAAGAAACCGGGGGTGTTTTAGGCATTATTAATACTTGACGACTCGACACAAGAGAGAGAAAGAGAGTGGCTCTGAGCCATTCAAAGTGGAGAGAGAGAGCCCAGAACCCTCCAAAGGTCGAATCTCCATGGCGAAAACGCGTTCACCTGCAGTTTGAGATAGAGAGAAGAGGGGAACGAAACATGAACAGGAAAGTCATCGTCGCCAAAAGCTTTAAACTCCATCGCCAAACTACTTCTCTTTCCCTTTCAAGATCCCAATCTCGACTCACAAAAGTCCATCTGGAGTATCCTCTCTTCTCCCAAAACTGAAGTTTCCTCACTTTTTAGTACCCAATTTTTAATGGGTACTCTGCTGTTTCCTTCTCTCCCTCTCTCTATCATTATCTAACCAGGTCCTGCAGAAAACCAGCCACCATTAATGGATTTCATCGAGCTTGAGGCCATCGAAGGTCTTAGGTGGTCATGGAACACTTGGCCAACAACCCCATCTGAAGCTTCTTCGCTTGTGATCCCTTTGAGCATCATGTGCACGCCATTGATGCAATTACAGGACACCCCACTTCTCCCTTATCACCCTCTTGCGTGTAAACAATGCAGAGCTATACTCAACCCTTATGCTCGGGTTGAGTACCAAACCAGAGTCTGGTATTGCCCCTTCTGTTTCTCTAGGAACCCATTTCCCAGTTCTTATGTTGGTATCTCAGAGACAAATTTACCAGCTGAGCTTTTCCCCACTTATAGCACAGTTGAATATGTTCTCAGTTCAGGAAAACCTACACAACCAACTTCTTCCTCTTCTTCGATTTCTGCTTCTTCCTCGTCCTCTTCTTTAGGTTTGGGCTCCGATTCAAGTGTGAGATTTGGGGGACCTGGGTTTGTGTTTGTTGTGGATACTTGCATGGAAGAAGAGGAATTTGGGGTTTTGAAGAAGGAGATTTTGAGGTTATTGACACGATTGCCTGAGAATGCTATGGTGGGTTTGATCACTTTTGGGTCGATGGTTTTTGTTCACGATTTGGGGTATGGAGCGTGTTTGAGAGCTGTGGTGCTTCGTGGCGACAGGGATGTTTCTCCACAGAAAGTAAGTAGACGTTTCCCAATTCGTGGTTACTGTGTGTGTGTGTGTGTGTGTGTGTGGGGTGTATGTGTGTGTGGATGCATTCCGGATAGGAAAGTGTTATGGCACTCTTTTTCCCTCATTTAAGATCATTGAGTTGTAAATATTAGTCAGTTATGGCACTTGGTTGACTTATAGAATGGAGGTTATTCTTCTTATTTTTTGTAGCTTACCTGTCTCTAGATTATCAGAAGCTTTGCTCTTGAAATAGGAGATATTTGGGACAAACCCTTATTGGGGTGTGACGTCTTTGGTGTTTAGAATTGTAGATGGAGTTCTTATTTCTGTTTTTTTATATCATTTTGGGCAACTGCACTGCAACAACTATGAGCATTCTTTGCTGAACTTTTGTATCTATAACTGTGTGTTAATTTGTTGGGAATCCTAGATCTGATTGTAGGATTTTTCTGGCCTTAAATATTAGTTAGTGCTTGTGTTACCATCGAAGTCATTTTGTATTTGTATGTTCTTGGTCTTGAATCATGCTTCCCTTCTTTGTTGTGTCAGGTTTGCTCTGCAATCGTCTTTCACATAAATTGGAAAACTAGGGTGTATTATTTGTTTTGTGAGTAATAGATGGTCGGAAAACTCGGGAGTCGGGGCATTGTTGAGCTCACCAAGTCGACTTCGTCGATTAGGTGCCCCATTGGTAGTTAAGGAGTCTTCGACGGTTAAAAGTTCCATTGGCGGTCAAGCTGTCATCGTCAGTTAAGGTTCACTGGCGGTTAAAGTGGCTCATTGTTGGTCAAGGTGTTAACTGACGTTTCATCAGTTAAGACTTTACACGATGGTCGCTCATCGATGATCTCTTTTAATTGATGGTGTGTCCCAAAATGTTCCCTTTTGGCGGTTTAAAAATGAATCTTGCATGTAAGAAGGATCCTAAAAGAATCCATCCAACCTAGAAGGTTTAGTGGAGAATTAAAGGAAAAACTTGGCTTTGATACGATTTGTTGAAACCTAGATATGGGACAAATACACCAAAATTCGTGCGAGTGTACGAGTGAAGATAGCAAGCAAATAGATAAATACTTCAACACTGACACTAATATTTATGTGGTTCACCTTTTCAGGTTATGCCCACAGGAGAAAGAAATCAGATCAATTATTAAAAATAATAGTTACAAAATCATTCAAGAAACAAGTTTTCTTAGGCTCTCTGACTTCTTTTAGAGATTTTCTCTCGCTTTTTCTCTCTAATAGAAGGATCACTTTCTTTTAGGATTTACTGCATCTAAAAGACTTCACTCTCTCTTCTTATTCTCTTTATGAGAAGGCTCACTTTTCTCTCTACTGTGACATGGAAAAGCAAACATCACAAGAAGAGACACATCATAAAGAAGAGGAACTTTTTATCATCAAGAAACCCTAGACCCTCATGTGAGCCTTTTTATGTGATTTTGACTGTTCTCTCTTTCCCTCTCTTTTTTTTCATCTCATCTCATATGTAGGGCCCATTTGAAGATTGGTTTCTCTTTTGAAAAACTTTCAATCTCCTTACGTGATGTTTATCTTTTTCTAACCACTTTCAATCACTTATCATGCAAATTATTGAGTTATTCTATAACACCCCATTCTTTTAGAGTATTGACCATGGGGTCTTTTCCACATGGGATGGGACACCTTGAGGAACTTTAACCGTCCGAGGCACTTTAACCATCGGAAGGACTTTAATTGACAGTGAGCCCCCCTAACCACCAGTGAAAAGAAGAAAGGGAGGAAAAGGGTGTGGCGACTGTATGCGTGGATTACAGATGAACTCTAATATTGGGAATAGGATGATATCGCTCAAAGGAAATAACTGGATCATTTGGAAATCGAAGATGGAAGGTATTCTATACTTGTAGGGACTTGTATACACCCATTGAAGTGGTGGAATACAAGCCTGAAAGTATGACTGATGATGAGTGAAAGTGACTAGACCGAAAGGCTCTCATAATTATCCGACAATGGTTGGATGAAAATGTGTTCCACCTTGTGTCAACAGAGACATTTGCCAATTTATTATAGGATAAGCTACATGACTTGTACAAGAGAAAGACCGCAAAAAGTAAGGCGTTTTTTATATGAAAATTGGTAAACATGAAGTTCAGGGACATGGGACCCATTATAGAGCACTTAAACGAGGTGCAAAGCATTGTTAACCAACTCGCAACGATGAAGTAGTTCCTTGAAGATGAGCTACAAGCTCTGTTTTTACTCAATTCACTACTGCATAGTTGGGAGACCTTGGTAGTTTGTAACTTAGCAACTTATGGGATAGTGACCATGCATTAAATTACTAGTAGCTTGCTGAATGAGGAGATGAGACGAAGATCCTTCGACTCATTGAACTCACAAGCTCTTGTCACAAATTGAAGATGGTTAAAAAATAGGCACTAAAATCGATCTAGCCAATCTAAGGATAAAGTTAGATCAAAGTCGAGAAAGAGGGTCACATATTATTGTGGCAAGAATGGACACACTAAGAAAGAACGTCAGAAGCTTAAGAAAGTGCAAACTGAGGACAATGCCAGGGATAATGGCAGGCAAACCACTGCAGTGACCGCAGATGTTGGCGTGGTTGGAAAATGTAGTGACGGGTGCATCAATATTGCATACGAGAGGGACTCCATGTCAAGTCCCCAAAAGAATGAGGTATTATAGAATAACCCAATGACTTGCATGACATGTCATTGGAAGTAGTTAAAAAAGACAAACCTCATGTTACGAGGTTGGGATTTCCCAATAGGGAAAGAAATCCTCATATGGGTCCCACGTATGAGATGAGATGAGATGAAAAAAAAGGTGGTCAAAGATTATTTTTTATCTCTCAGAGAGAGAAAAAAAGAACAAATCAAAATCACATAAAAAAAGGCTCACGTGAGGGTTTGTGTTTCTTGATGATAAAAGTTCATCTTCTTTGTGTGTGTGGCTCTTCTTGGGGTGTGTACCTCTCATTGTCACAATAGAGAGAGAAAAGTGAGCCTTCCCATAGCGAGAAGAAGAAGATAGTGAAGCCTCTTAGATGCAATAAATTTTAAGAGAAAGTGATCCTTCTATAGAGAGAAGAAGAAGGAGAAGAGACTGAAAAAAAAGTCCAAGAGTCAAAGAAAGTTTGCTTCTTGAATGATTTTGTAACTATTATTTTCAATAGTAGATCTAACCTTTTTTTCCCGTGGACGTGTAGCCTGAAAAGGTAAATCTTGATGTCATTGTTTATTTATTTATTTGCTTGCTATCTTCACACATACACACACACGGATTTTGTTGTATTTGTCCGGTATCTGGGTTCTGTTGTGCACATCCCTAATTTGGCACGCGGGCTCGACATGGTGAGCTCAAGAGGCACTACACAGCTTCACTTCAACTTTGGTGGCAAATGAACATAATACGTTTTTGCAATTGGGTTGTATTGTTGAGGGATTGAGCATTGGAAACGAAGGCGAGTCATGAAAGAAGGTAAAAGAACTTAAGGCTATAAATATGTAGAAAAGTTTGCAACGGAGGAAGGTAGTGAGCTTGACAACAGAATGAAATTTTACTTTTATTGATTTTGACAACAAAATATTTGTGCAAAAGTTATGAAATTTGACAGTTTGCTTCAAAATGGGTAAGATGTTTGACTGAGGGCTTAGGAGCTATGCCATGGTCTGTTTAGGCGCAAGTGAGGAGTATATTTTAACCGCGGAGTTGTTAGTGATTGCAGTTGTTGGGTTTGAGTGTTTTTTCTACTACTAGAGTTATTTCCTTTTCCTGATACTTGGTTCTGGGGTTCTTTTTCGCATCTTTGTCGATAAATTTGTAGAGTAGGCTGTGGTTTGATAACCTGTTTGGTAAATATAGGTTTATGTATAAATACAGGAAACTTTGGCACTGGCCAAACAAAGATAATAAGTGGTTCCAAAAGTTGAGCACATTTCACTTAACAAGATATCATAAACCGCAGAATCCTAGCATTCTGCATTGAGCTTTGCTCCATGCTTGGGAATTCTGTTGTGTATTTTAGTTGTGCTATGATATTACTATTTAACTTGTGCTATGTGAATGATATATCTGACACATAAAGCAATTGTTGGGATCTTTGCTTCCTAATTTTTCATAGGAGAACCCTAAAATCCTGTTTTTTTTTTAGAGAAAGTAGTTCCCCAAAATCATCTTCAGTTTTTTGGTTGAGAAAATAGATTCCCAAAACCATCTTCAGTTTTTTGGTTGAGAAAGTAGTTCACAATAATGAACTCCATCTGCCATGTTACTGGCATGAAAAAAAATCTTAAGAACCAAATTCAAGCCATGTTACTGTGGCCAGTAATTAGAAATTGACATGGGGAGTTGGAAAACTATGTTTTCTTGGCTCAATCATAGCTCAAAGGATGGGACATTATTTGAAGTAAACCCATACGGCTAAGTTGTTTTCAGCAAGGGAAACCTTAGTATGATCTTGGAGGCTGTTACCATCATATTTACTTAAGATCACTGTACTAGGTTTCAAGTGCCTTATGTCCATCACATTTATATTGTTTTTAGCTATTATTGCTAATATTATTTTATAAATACTCTGTTTGTTATTGAATTAATGTATAAGGCGTTCTACAATATTCTCTGATAGTAAGTGTAGGTTTCAAACCTGAAGTAGAGTGTGACAGTTTGAAACCAGGTTTGAAACTCACTGAGTCTGACAAGGACTTGGGCTGGTCACTAGGATCTAACACCCCATTTGCAGATATTATTGCTTTTTAAGATAATCATAATAAATAATATAATAATAATGCATATGTATATGCATACATACACACACACATGTATACACACATATTCTCTCTATATAGTTCCTGGTGGATGACAATGCATATATATACCTCTGAGGGGAATTGATGCCTTGAAGTTGCTGAGGCAGCTTGCTTATTTGAATATTATGGTGCCATTGGATGTTAGTTAGCTAACAAAATTTTCTTGCAATAGACAGCATATATTTTTTTGAGAGAAGTTTAACTTGTATTAATATAGTAATAATTACTAAAACCTGATGAGGTATTGATCTAGTGAGAGGCAACCCACATGTGTGCTTAGAGTGACATGGTCTGCATACAAAAACAGTGAGTGAGGCCTGGTAATATATGGAGATTTTTTTTTGGAGCGAGGGGGATGGAGGGAGGGAGAGAGAGAAACAGAGAATAGGTGTACCCTCGGTCAAAAAAGTGTAGGTGAACCAGTGACATGGTCCGTGTACAAGAACAGGGAGGAAGCCCCGTAATATTTAGAGTGATGGAGGAGTGAGAGCGAGGGAAGGGGTATAGAGATAGAAGAGGATGGATGAACCCTCGGTCAAAGAAAAGTAATATACATCATATACAATCTTCCTGAACTAGAGAAAAGGATATAAACAAAGAGTTTAAATGTCTCTCTTTTTCTGATTTCCCTTAAACTCTTCAAAGTTCCATATACTTCCCAATTCCTGAATGAAAACCTAGTGAATATCGAAAAATGCTAATATGCTATCGACCTCTTCTTCTATTTGTCCAATTTGCCTTCAACAGCAGTTTTGAGTTATATCTAGAAGCATACCTTTCTGTTTCTATTCTAGTTGGCTTTGCATGATTTTGGATTCTATATATATAAAGAAATTCTCTTCTAGGAATAGAGTGCATTCTTCCTTTTATGTCACTGGAGCTCTGTTCCTCTGTGAAAGCATTTAGGTGCTCCAAGTCTCGCAAACAGGTTTGCAGTTTACCTGGTAACCCTAATAAGTCTAGCACTCTTCACTTTTTTCTATTTTATTCTGTTATTGAAATTTTTAACTGAGTTTATATTATTTTAACTTGTCAACAGTTAACAGTTTCAAAAAAATATTATGTTAACTTGTCAATGTTTTATTGATGTATTACTTTATTAGCATTCTTTGATGAGCCAAGTCGGTCCACTTGGTGATCCATGTTTCCCTTTCCTTGTTTCATACTCCTTTGTGATCCCACGGGCATCTTTCCTTTTAAGCTTTTTAGGCAACTCCATTAAGAAATATTGGAAAAAAATAGCTACGAAAGGAATCCGCCTCATATATGGACTTTGCAGGGTTTTATACTTTGTGGTGTCCCTACTTCCAAAAGTAATGCTTCCTTAGCTGCTTCATGAGGTATTTCTAGCAGATTGGGAGTTTATGATAAATTGGTTTTCAAAAGTTTCATGTGTATGAGAAATTTGAAATCCTAATGAAGAAAATGCAACTTATAAACGATCTTTTGTTCTATAGATGACTAATTTACGTTCATGAGCTCAATGTTGCAACAACAGTTGCCTTCAATTGGAGCTATGGGCTCAATCAAACCTAACTTCTTGAATATTTTGAATCATGTTTAACTTGCTCCATGACCTGTACTCTCTCTCTCTCTCTCTAAAACAGTGCCATTACCCCCTTCTTGCAGATCCAAGAGCTCCTAGGCATATCGCATCTCCATCATCGCCACTTCGGCAAGGCACATATTCACCGACAAGGCTATCTCCTCCCCATCTCAGATTGCGAGTTTAATTTTACTGCTGCCCTTGAAGGCATCTCTGTTTCCGTTCCTCCCATGCCTGGCCATAGACCCCAACGCTCCACTGGTGCTGCAATAGCTGTAGCTACTACCCTTTTAGAAGCTTGCCTTCCAAACACAGGAGTGCAAATCATGACTTTCCTCTCAGGTCCTACAACTGTGGGCCCTGCCATGGTTGTTGAGACTGATCTCACAAAGAGCATCCGGACCCACCAAGACCTGCTCTCTGATAGAGCCCCTCACTACAAGAAAGCTTGCAATTTCTACAGCCACTTAGCTCAAAGGCTATCAGATTCCTCTCTCTCTCTAGATGTGTTCGCCTGCTCTCTAGACCAGGTGGGGACCGCTGAGCTCAAACCATCGGTTGAGAGCTCAGGAGGCCTGATGGTCCTTGCTGAGTCTTTTGGTTCCGATCAGTTTAAGAAGTGTTTGCACCGGCTCTTTGAACTAGACCACCACGACATGAACTTCAATGCAACAATTGATGTGGTAACCACAAAAGAGGTGAAGATATGTGGGGCTTTAGGGCCCTGTGTCTCTCTCAGAAGGAAGAACAGCTTGGTGAGTGAGAAAGAGATAGGGAAAGGTGGGACTTGTGCATGGAAACTTAGCACGATCCATAGCAAGACATGTATAGCCTTCTTTTTTGAAGTGGGGGGTGAGCCCAAAGCCCAACCAGGCTCTGCTTTTCTCATTCAGTTTCAAACGAGATATCGAAATGGAAATGGAGAGACCCGGCTTCGTGTAACCACTTGTGCAAGAAGGTGGGTTGATAAGGCACGGTTCCAAGAGATTGCCGAAGGTTTTGATCAGGAGGCTGCAGCTTCAGTCATGGCTAGGCTCGCAATTCACAAGGCTGAACAATCATGTGCCGATAACGCGCTTCGGTGGCTTGACAAAACCCTCATCCGTTTCGCTGCAAAGTTTGGGGACTATGTGAAGGAGGACCCATCCACATTTCGTCTCTCATCAACTTTCTCTCTCTACCCCCAATTCATGTTCTATCTGCGAAGGTCTCAGTTCTTAGATGTTTTTAACAATACCCCAGATGAGACAGCCTTCTTTCGGTTGGTTTTGAACCGAGAAGGGGTGGTGGGCTCACTTGTTATGATCCAACCAACTCTTTTTAGATATTCGTTCGATGGGCCCCCAGTTCCAGTTTTACTCGACGTTAAATCGATTTCACTAGATTGTATCTTACTATTTGATTCATTTTTCCATGTGGTGGTTCATTTTGGGTCCAACTTTGCCCAGTGGAGGAAGCTTGGGTATCTTGAGTACCCGAACTATGAGAACTTGAGGAAACTCATGGAGGCTCCGGTTCAAGATGCTGAGGCCCTGATTGCAGAGAGAATTCCGGTTCCTAAGCTTGTGGTATGTGATCAACATGGAAGCCAGGCTCGGTTTTTGCTTGCAAAACTGAACCCCTCAATTACTCAGAAGACGGAATGGGTTGATACGAGCTCAACTGAGATGATATTCACAGATGATCCAAGTTTGCAAGATTTTATGAAGCATTTACAGGAGTTGGCTGTTCAGTCCTGATGTGGGTTTTTTGGTTCCGGGCCTTTTTGTGTGGGTCTCTCTCTCTCCCCATCGCCCCCCAAAAAAAGTAGTGTGGAATCATGTATTGCGAGTGTATGATACGAGTGTGATATCTCAATATGTATCAAAGCTGCTAGAGATTTGTGTACAAAAAGTATTGTGAGCTCTCAGTATGGCCGTGTTTTTTAGGCCGAATGAGATAATTGGATGAGGCTTGTTCATATGCTAGGAGCAGCTTTGTCGATTTTTCTTTTGAAGTTATATATGTTTATTGTTAGGTATCTTTTGCTTAATGGATCTGATTGTCTGGGATATATTGTCTAGAATGGTCATCACTCACGTGATTTGCTTTACCCCATGTGTACAAGTGAGAGAGAGAAAGAGAGAGAGACTTTAGCAAGAATTTATTCAAAAACCCAGAAAATAACTACAAAAGTAGAAAGGGAATATGATATTCTGGAACGGTGTTTTTTTTTATATATATATAACTGCAATGACTTCCATGGGAGCTAAAACATGATGGAATTGGGAAAATTGTTATATGATTATTATTGACTGTAATTATCTTTACTCCCCCAAAGATAACCCACTCACAAAACAGAATTGAATATTGCTTTAACTTAACCAAAAAAAGAAAAAATACATGAACTCGTATTCTCACTTTTGGCATGGGTCTAATACTTGTTAAGAAATAAGACAATCTTTCAGCTTGAATCAGAAAACCTCGGAATCATCTCAGAATACCAGGCCCGCACCAATTTAAAGGCTTCCTTGGTGAATTTCCATCCTTTGGACCTTTGTTGCTAAATTTCCTTTTGGTGCCTTTCCACAAGGAGTGAAACATTGATGGCCATAGTTGGATCTGAAATCACAAAACCAATTACACAAATTATTCTAAGCTTCAGAAGAAGCCACAAAAACTTCTTTTAACAAGGGAAGCAGTTAGCCATGGCCCTTGGTCCTGGGCGATGTGAGACATAAATTGTATGCGGGGAGGTGAGACACGGATTGAATGAGGGAAGTTGCGGGATTGAAATTTGTCCCACATAAAAACCAAGTTCATCTCTCTCTCTCTAAACCAAGTTCACCTCCCTGTGTGTGTGTGTAAGGTAAATCCTAAAGAGCATGCTCATGATAGGTCACTAAGCCACTCGAGGTAACCCCATATGTGTGTGGGCACAGTGGGTTCATATTAGATGTATATACGTGCATATTTACATCAAACTCACTTTCAGGTTTAAGGTTTGTTCATTAAGCTGCAGTTTTTGCTTTTGGCTCCTGCATCAACTCCCCCTGCAAAAGCATAAAATAAGAGACCAGAGATCTTGTATTCTAAAGTCACATTTCATAGAAAAAAGAACAAAAAATAAACCAGTTACAACAGAAAGACAAGTAGAAAACAATATCAGATATTTTGCCACAAGATAAGGATGAGCATTAGTGGAAATTGATGCAGAGAGAGGAAGCACCAAGGAAGATAACCTAGTCACCATTTTGTTTGAAGGGGAGACTAAAACAGAGTAAAAAAGACTAAGCTTCCTCACTCCCTTCGATCAAAGAATGGCAGGAAAACAAGGGCTAATGCTCATTATTCAGATTTAGTAGTAAGATATACAATGTTGACAATATGGGACTGCATAAAGGTTCTGGCCAAGGGTCAACTTAAAACTGGGCACAAATTTGTCTCCTTTATTAATTAGCCCAACAAAATATTCTATCCAGTTTAAAGAGAAGCCAATTTAAGAAAAAAAGAAAAGAAAAGGTGCGATATCAAAAGCACACCTAAGTTATTCTCATCATTCAAAATGGTCCAATAAATATACAGAAGTTATATTTTAATGACATTTGCTTCCTCTCCCCCACCACCCCACTCTTGGACAAGTCCGACAGGTCTGGGGTCAAAGACCTTGCCAATGGGTGGCTCTTGAAGCCAATGGTGCCATTGGCATATAGGTCGTTTAGGACCCATGCCCTTGTAACCTCCCACATTACCTCTTTTACTGTGACCATCACCCTCCCTAGAATTTTCGACAGGCTTCCGTGAAAATCCACAACAGTCTATGGACCCCAACTCCGACTCTTCCAGAGGTTTTCTCTAGGATGAGCTTGACAAGGTTGCCCCCTATCCCCCTTCCCATTGGTGCATAGGCGTTTAATGTCACAAGGTGGTCATTCGAAAGAAACTCGAGCTCAAGAATCACCTAATCCATGCTCAATTTTTCATATTTCATCTCCAGACATGAACTTATCGACATTCCCCTCCTAGGAGCAGTCTTAACCTGATCCAACCACTCATCCTCTCCCCCCTTCTCCAAATTGGACCGATACCTGAGCAACCATGATTGGGACACTTCCTTGGCACCCTTTCCTTTGCCCTCCCAAACCTGCCTCAGACCACAAGCCCATTGTCTTCAACACACAGCTGGCATGGGGAGGGCCTAGACCCTTTCGTTTCGAATTGGCTTGGCTCAAGGAGCCTAGCCTGCCTTCTCTGATTTCCTCATGGTGGTCCTCAGTTTCCAATCGACTGCACAGGTGGGCTGCCTTTCGCTTCCGAATGAAACTCCAACTTCCTAGGGGCCTCCTAGTAGGCAGCTTCCTGGGAACTTCCACAGCCTTAAAGAATCCCCCTCCTTCTGGCTATCAACTTTTGGGACTAGACCGAAGAGTCCCGCCCCCTCAATCCCAACGAAATCAAACTCAGGACTCAACTCAAGATGGACTATCATAACACCCTAAAAAAGCAAGAGATATATTGAGCACAACATTCGAGGGTTAAATGGCTTAAATGTGATCTCAATACGGCCTTTTCTCACAAAACTGCCAATTGTAGAAGAGAGAACACCATAAAGCCAATTGTAGAAGAGAGAACACCATAACCCAGTTAGTAGTTGAGGCTGTCATCCTCGACCAAGCCCCTCAGATGGAGAAAGCCATTATTGACTTCTTTACGTAGATCTCCAACTCACCTATCAAACCTACCCCCAAGATGGCCAACCTCTCTTTCCAGACCAAGCCCTATGGCTGGAGCGCTCATTCCCCAAAAACGAGATCCTCAAAGCCGTCTCTGACCTGGGCGCCCCAGGCCCCGACAGCTTCCCATAGCTCTTTTCAAAAACTTCTGGGAACCCCTCCGACCCAACGTACTTGCCTTCTTTGCGGAGTTCCATGAGTGAGGGATCATCAATAAAGGTATGAACGCCACTTTCATCGCCCTTATCCCTGGAGTGGAAGGGGCTGAAGAACTCAAGGACTTTAGACCTGTAAGTCTAATTAACAGTTCTTACAAGACACTGGGTACGGCCCTGGCTCTTAGACTCAAGGACATGCTAGGATGGGTGATATACCCCCATCATGGGGCTTTCGTGAAAGACCACTAAATTTTAGATGGAGCCCTCGTTGCGCACGAATGTATACACTCAAGAATCAAATCCACGATTCCAGGAAACCTAATAAAATTGGACTAGGAAAAAGCCTACGACCATGTCGTTTTTGCGGTGCTGGACAAAACCCTGCACCGCATGGGCTTTGGAAATCGTTCACGCAAATGAATTAGAAGTTGCATCTCTAACGCCTTCTTTGCCATAATCATCAATGGAACCCCCAAGGGCTTCTTCCCTTCCTCTAGGGGCCTCTGACAAGGGGATCCCCTGTCCCCATTCTTTTTTGCCATCGTGGCCGAAGTCTTCAGCAGGTCAATGGCCGTGAACAGCCTATTGGCGGGATTCAATACCACCAATGAAGGCCCCGTCATCTCTCACCTTCAATACGCTAATGATACCCTACTCTTTTGTGGGGCCTCTGAGCAGTAGGTTGTCCTCAAGTGCTTTGAACTGGCCATGGGTTTTAGGTCAACATGGCCAAATCGAAAATGATTGGCATGGGCATGGAGCCACAGGCCACCCAGGACCTTGCGATGGGTTGGACTGTGCAGTGAACACCCTCCTTTCCACCTACCTGGGCCTTCCCCTCTGCCATGGCAAGCCTAAACAAAGAGAACAGGAGCACATCATTGATAAATATGACCACAAGTTGGCCACCTGGAAAGGGAGATTCTTGTCCCCAATAGGTAGAGTAACCCTCATTAAAGGCCACTCTTTCCAATGTCCCCATTTTCCAAATGTCCCTCTTCCACATACCTGCCGCTGATGCCTCACGCCTGGAACAACTCATGCGCAACTTTCAGTGGGCTGGAGACGGTGAATCCAGGAAGCATCACCTTACCTCCTGGACCACAGTTCGCAAGCCGAAATCTCAAGGCGGCCTAGGTATTCGCTCCCTCGAACTTAACAACTTGGCCTTATTGGGCAAATGTTGGTGGCATCAGGCCACCCAGGAGAGCTATCTGTGGCAAGTTGTATTGTGCCACAAAAATCGCCTACACCATCCTCCCTGGTTTCCCCTCAAAACCGCCTGCAATTCATGCTCAGGTGCCTGGAGATCATTTTTGCATTGCCTACACTCCTTCAAGCTACTATTTGCATCCATGCAAGGGTGGGCAACATAATTAACTTTTGATCTGACCTTTGGACAGGCCACACTCCCCTGAGAGATCTTTTTCCCAACCTCTTCCGCTTGGCCAGAACAACAATGTCTCAATTGCGGATTCATTACAAATGGTAGGCACTACTCACTTCGGAAATCCAAACTTTAGAAGACACCTCCATGACGCGGAAGTTCGAAGCCTTCCTTCAGGCCTCAGCCCTTCTCCACTCCGTTTATATCTCTCCCCAGGGCCAGGTCAAAGAAATTTCGTCCCTTAGTGCAGACGGTTCACTCTCAGTTTCCTCCTTTAACCGCAAACTCCATTCCATCCCAACCTCCACCTCATCCTCTTCCCTTGTCGCCAAAGCTTGGCTATCCTTCACCCCTCCCAAAATCCAGGTCTATAATTGGATTCCCTCTCGAGAGGGTCTTAACGGTAGACCAATTGCAAAGAAGACTCTTCTAATATTTCGAGGACCTCCTATGGAGACCACCAGAAAGCGGAGGTTTCAAGCTTGATTTGGATGGTTGCTCCCTTGGCAACCTAGGACCCTCTGGTATATGGGGGCTCCTACGTGCTAGTGATGGGAGTATTCTGATGTCCTTATCTCGCGCTATTGGTATCGCAGAACCCACCCTTGCAGAGGCCCTTGCCCTCTTGGAGGGCCTTCGCAAGTGTGACCCCTCTCGGAGTCATAACTTGATAGTGGAAGGAGATGCCAAGAATATAATCACCTGGGCTTCCAATCGTTCAGCTTGGCCATGGCGTCTTGATGACATTTTTTAATAAATTTTGTATATCACCAAAGATTTCAGCATCGCTTGGCAACACGTGTATAGAGAAGCCAACTGAGATGCTGATATGTTGGCTAAGGAGGGGGCATCCAGTCCCCATCTTGGGGATCTAAAGCCTTTTTCTCTTGGCCTCTCTGTGTTGCTTTCTTCCTTTTTTGTACACAGTTTGGACCCTGATTGCGCCTGTATAGTGTGACCCTTAGGGTTCGCCACACCTCTTGTAATTTTGGTCTTAATGAAATACAGTGAACGTTTCTTAAAAAAAATGAAGAGGCTGGTCACTCCCAATTGCTGTGCAATGAGCACGGCCGACGAGGAAACAAATCCATGCCTCTTCACTCACTGCAGCTTAGCCAGCAAACTTTGGAAGGACTAACTTTTACTGTTCAACTAGTCTTGGGTCACCCCTAGGTCAGTACCCCACATGTTTGAATACGCGAAGTTCCTCCCATGGCCAAATCAGGCATTCTACTATGGAAGGCCTCAATAGCGGCTATCTTATGGGCCATTTGGTTCGAGCGCAACAACCGCATTTTTCAAGGGCGTTACTCTCCACTCCATGTCTTGAGGGACAACATCAAATCCATGGTTATCTTTTGGGCCTCGAACCATAGCTGCTTCAAGCACCTCTCAGCCTTGGACTTCCATCAATCACTCCTCTATCTCAGGCCTAAAGCCATCCCTCAGTTGCCTCTTTGGCGACCTCCGGAATTGGGCAAAACTAAAGTTAAATTCGACAGTTGCTCACTTGGTAACCCAAGACCGGCCGGTACTGGGGGCCAGCCGGTACTGGGGGCATCTTCAAAAACCACCATGGCCTCTCCCCCTTTTCCTTCGCCAGACCTATCGGCCGAGCTGATTCCACTATGGCGGAAGCTCTCGCCCTATTGGAAGGTCTCACACAGTTCAACCCTCACTGGAGCACTGAATTGGTCGTCAAAGGCGACTCTAGTAATGTCGTCCTCTGGGCCTCAGGGGAGGCACACCCACCTGGAGACCTGCTCACGTGTCTGATGAGATTTTTTTGACATTTGCAGGCATATTCCCATTTCATGGACACGTACCTGGCGGGAGGTAATTCACGTGATATACACTCTCGCTAGAGAAGGAGCAGCTACGGCAATAGTTTAGAGATCTTAGGTTTGTGGTTTTGGAGTTTTTAGCCTTTTACCTTTGCCCTTTTTTGGATGGACAGAATTTTTTGACCCACACCAGCCTCTCGGTGGGTTTAGTATAAAGCTCCCGAGTTGTGGGTAGCCTATTCTTTTGACAACTTGTACATCTTTACTCTTTACAATGGTCAACACTATAAAAAAAAAAAAAACATACCGCATATGGAGTTGTATCTCTCCGGATCTTTCGGGTAGGGGTCCTCATTGTAACCAATTCTTCTGCAGCTGTGGGGTGAATACCCACTGTTGCATCAAAATCTGCCTTGTTTAACCCCGCTTTCACCGCAATTGCAATTCCCTGAATCAGTTCAATGTAAAATAAGTTTGACAATCACTTAAGCTGCAGAATCCATGACAGTAGACCACTTGTCCAAGAGGAGTCATGACTCTCTCTCATCAGAAAAAAATTATTGTAACAAAATAAAAGCAAAATGTTAAAACCATAAAAAAAAAAAAATTTGAGAAAGCATGGCAAAATAAAGAATTTAAAGAAGAACCTTTGAGAAAAGCATGACAAAATAAAGAATTTAAATAAGTAAATTTATTTTGGAGAAAAGCATGACAAGATAAAGAATTTAAAGAAGTAACTTTAGTTTTGAGAAAAGCATGACAAAATAAAAAATTTAAAGAACTAAACCTGCATGATCTCTGGTGAGTCTTCTCCACACATGTGCACCCCAAGGACTTTGTTCGTGTTGGCACAAACAATGAGTTTCATGAAGACCCGATCAGGGAGTCCTGAGAGAGTCGCCTTCAAAGGCCTGAAGTTGGCGGTGAAGACATCAACATCTCCATACTCTTTAATTGCCTATACAAAAACAGGAAAACATTTTGAGTAACATGCGAACAAAAAGGCAATCAATAAGCTGTTGGAGAAATTTCTTCTTTTCCTTCGACAACTATATAAATTTTTATATTATGGTGACAAGAAAAGTTTAATAGCTCTTTTCACCTGTTCTTCTGTGAGGCCAACTGTTCCAATTGGAGGTTGAGAGAACACGGCAGAAGGAACTGCTCTGTTTAAAGGTAAAATTTCACAGTTTATTAAATAATTCAAGAACAAAGCTACAATATTAATAAGCCCATTTTATCTATCTATGTATCGATCTATCAATTCATCCATCTGTCGTCCAAGACAGTTCAAAGACAGAGTTGGAAAGAGACAGCTCGACCAAAAGGGAATGCTAGAAGAGCCTAATGAAAGACACCCACATCTAGAAGGCATTCTACCAAAGTAGCTCTGGCAGAAGCAATAGCTCTTGCAGAATGTGTTCTACTTGGACGGTGAAAACTAGCCTCTCCAACTGAGGTATTTCTCATCATGAAGCACAAGCATGTTCTCTAAATAGTTCTGTGAACCTCAAATATCACTTAAAAGACTTCTATATTTCAATGAAGCGTACACCAGCGCTAATACCACGAAAACAATAAAGAGTCCTTTTGATGGAATGCAATTAACTAAAGAAACACAAGATGATGCAGAAAATCACAAAACATTTAATGTTCGAATACCCTAACTACCCCAGCGCTTAAACTAGTTCAGCACTATAAAAACAGCAACATAACAATCAGAACCAAAACAACTGATACTGGTTTCATGCACTCATGAAAAAGAGCCTTGGACTATTACTTACAATAATGGATAGGTTGAATATTAAACTGCACACAAAAAACATACCTGTAATCTGGTTTTGTAGGTTCATTGCCAAAAACAGTTTTTGCAAATGCGCATCCTTCCATCAAAGCAACTGGAGTCAAGTTCAGTCGATCGGTGACATCACCAACAGCCCAAATGGACTCAACAGAAGTTCTGGAGTATTCATCAACCTAAAAATGATTGATAGCAATCAAACCCATACAATTGAGACTGGATAATTGAGAAAATTCAATTATAGTGGATAAAATCACGTGCAACAGTCTCTAGGAGTTACCTCGATTGACCCATTTCTCCCATTTTCACTTCAACTGTCTCCAAACCTATATTCTGCACATTAATGGGAAGTTCAGACCTAATGCCATGAACAGTTGCCCAAAATCTGCAACCGCAATAAAAACACAAGAACAGAGACAATTGCAAGAAACACAAACCATTGTGTTAGGTTTTCTTCCAGTGGCAAACATGACATGAGAAAAACCATCCATGGTTCCTTTGTTGGTTTTCAATGACAGTGAACCATCTGATAACTTTTGTATGGCTTGTGGGGTCTCCTCAGTGTGGAACTCAATTCCCCTTAGAGAAATCTGTTCTGCCACAAAGTCTCTGATCTACAAAAAACCTAGAAGTGGATCACTCAACGTGGCACTCAAACGTAGAAAATAATAATAATAATAATAACAACAAAAGACATCTATACCTCTTCATCAAAGCCTCTTAAAACTTTCTTCTGACGAATAAATACATGGACCTCACTTGTTAACCCATTGAAAATGCCTGCAAACTCCAGAGCTATGTACCCTCCCCCTACTATAGCGATTTTATTGGGTTTTGAGGGCAAATCTAGCGCAGCATCTGAGTCTATTGCATACTCCTTGCCAGGAATATCAGGAATAAAGGGCCTCCCACCAACAGAAATGAGTATATGCCTTGCAGAGTATAATTTCCCATCTACATCAACAGTATGGGGATCTACAATCTGTAAATAGAACCATTAAGATCCACAAAAAAAAAACCCATGAAAATAGGATGATATAACCTTTTTTGGCTACAAATAGTTATAATATGGTACAAATGAATTGATAGTGTAGCAGTAAATGACTCCTTAAATTCTTAAATGGGGCGAGAATTACATAGAATTATTAAAATCCACACAATGAATAAAAATCCCATGATAGTAGCCAATAGAGAGATTCTTTTTTATATAATTCCCTAGAAAAATTTATAACCTGATCTCAGAAGCGAGAAGGCACCCAACCTTTCCACGGCCTTCAATTAGAGTTACACCAGCATTGTTCAGAACATTTTTGTAAATCCCAGTAAGGCGTTGAAGCTCAGCATTCTTGTTGGCCATCAGGATGCTCCACTCATGCTTTGGATCAGCAGGGTAGGACCATCCAAACCCATGACTCTCTTCAAAATCATGAGAATATTTGGAGGAATAAACAAGTAACTTCTTTGGCACACAACCGCGAAGTACACACCTGCATAAGGAAACCAATAAAGAGCAATTATTGTGTTTGCCTCTAATAATGTCACATGCCCATTGCCCATAGAACTGAAGGCACCCATTGCCCATAGAACTGAAGGCACCTACTGTCTTAATACAATGAGCCACATGATAGTGTAGGCTATACAAACAACTTATGAAGCACCTACAAATATAGAAACCATCATAAATAGATGTAAAAACATTCCAAGTTAAAACTAATTATTCTAGGACGTGGTATCAATTGTAAGAAAATTTGGCGTTGAACTCTAGACTGTAGAATTTCAGGCAATCAAATTGCTTACAAGTTGTAAAACATAACACTTCGAAACCATGTAACAGTTGGATTTGGGAACAATTTATGAAGAGCTATAAAAATTTTGTTTCAAAAATTAACTGTCTTATTGCTGCATAAAATTTACACATGTTCAAGAAAATAGGTGGAGAAAAGAAACAAGATAGTCTTTGGGGCTTCATCTACAAAACTGTCCTATGGGATTTGAGATATGTTAGGGAGAGAAGTGATTGTAGACTACTGAGGCCCTGTCAACCCTTATTTCATAAGTGTGTCAGCATTGTTGTTTGCCTTATAACTTAACTGATACTTAGACAGATTAACCAAACAAAATGGTAGTTGGAAACTTTTAACAGCAACCTTCTCAGTACAATGCCAATCCCCATCCAAAATCTATGTTTGGTGCTCTGGGAGGGGAAGCATGCAGGGATTTGCAATTAATTATTCATATATGTGCATGTGTGACAAATAGAAATGTATAGCATGTGTAAGTAATTGGAGGCATTCATTCACACACACACATGAGCATGCACATACACGGCAATAGAAGAGAGAGAGAGAGAGAGAGAGAGAGACCAGTCTGACTCAATGATACAACATATGAGGAACTATAAACATTTATCAGCATCACATTGACACTATCTATATCAGAGGCAAGCTAAAGCATAAGGGAAATTAAGAGAACTAAACATGCTTACACAATAAAAAGATCTCCAAAATTGTAAATACCAAAAAGAAATGGTGATGAATTCCCCTATGAATATTTTTAACGCCATTGTATGCTCCCAATGGAAAGATATTTAACTTTTCAAATTAGTAAGATGCAGGTTCAAGGCCTATCTCCATTCTGTTTCTTCTTTCACCTAATTGAGTGAACAACTTCTACAGCAGTTTATGGCTCATTCGAACTATATAGGAAGCGCAGACGATAATTGTACTTTATAATGAAATAGTGATATCTCAAAACTCTTACACTTTACTGACACAATAAAAAGAAAATAGCTGCAACACAAAAATCATCTACATTCAATTATTATAGTTTATATATTCTCTACCATGAAGCATGTATTGGCACAAAAATTTTCAGCACTTTTAAGTTCACAATACTTTTTGAAAATTCTCTGTAGATTTGAGCAAAAATATCCAATTACTGTCACATCAATACAAAATAAACATTTTATCCATTTATGAAGGCATACGACTAATCCAAATGAAAAGGAAGAAGCCTACTAAAATTCCTTGCCAGCAGTATTCTTGTATGGCAAGAAGATAATTTTTGTTATGGAATGAGAAAAGAAATACACAACCAAAATGGAAATGAAACAAACAAAAACGACAACACAAAGAGTCATTATCATCATCACCATTCGAACCTTATCCCAACTATTTTGGGATCGGCTACACTAATCATGTTCCGCCATTCTAATCTATCAAGGGCCATACCACACACACAGAGAGAGAGAAAGAGAGAGAGAGAGAAGAAAGGGAGGCAATTGTGAAACTTCCATTACACCAACACTGCCTGTGGAATCAAAAGAGATGGTAGAGAAGGGAAGCTAAGAAAATATTGGCATTGTGCTACTCCTATTCTCATGAGAAGAATCCCATGAGAAAATGTTACATGTGTCCTATTATACTAATTACTTCTCAATGCAATATTATAGCTAATGAACAATGTTCTAAAATGGTTTTTGGTTCAATAATTATATAGTTTGGAGGATGAGCGTCAGCCTATTTTCTAGGAGGGTCATTTTGCTCATAATCCCCTTGAAATCATAAAGTTAGACTCCCATCATTTCCATATAAGAGGGGGTTTACAGAGAAGGTTTTAACATGGTGAAAAATATAGAGCTCCCTGTTAGCCTGTTTCTCTCTCCAAGAGTCAAAGTTATTGGAAGATCTGGGCTTCCGCAATCAATGGCCTCACAGCATCCCCTCTCAAATTTACGACTTTGAACCCCTCTACAATCACTAGCCTTAGGGGAATTGAACACCTCGTTAACCCACGTTTTTTCCCTTGTCTAAATTCCAATTTTCTTTTTCCAAAAACTTTGCCTCTCTCATAGAGACAATGCCGCTTTCCAAGTGAAAGCAAAAGATCGAAGGGAAGGATGAGCATCGAAGTAGTAGATCCAAGAGGGGATGTAACGAGAATAGTTATTGACGAAACCCAAATTTTCCAAGAACCTTTAGACTCTGAGCGAAAGAAGCAAGCTAGCAAAAAGCTTTGTATATTTCACCATGTTAAACCTTCTCCCTAAAACCCTTTTATATGGAAAGGATGGAAGTCAAACATTTTTATTTTCAGTGGTTTCAAAGAAACCGCCCTCCCAAAACAAAGACTTATACCTCCCAACCATTGAGCCGTTGAACCAACAATCATTATCTATGATATTACATTGATTTTAATTTCATAAGCATTTAAATTTCTCATGGGATTCTTCCCATAAGAATAGGAGTAGCAACATGAGGTCCCATTGCCACACGTGCCAACATCGCCCACTTGGCCATGAGGGTCGAACATTACAATTTGCCCAAAAAGGTTTACTCACACTTTTGAGCATAACCTTAATGACAATATCTTGTCTAGATGTTTTTCTCACTCTCTCACAGATATGCGTCTCATGACAAATGTCCATAATTTCATCATTAGGATTTTCATGCAAATGCAAATTTTGCCACTCATGACAATCAACTAACTTAACATTTTTAAGTTCCATTAAGCTAATGTGCTTGAAAAATAAAGTTAACCTTTTCTCAAAAACCAAATGTCTTTGGAAAATAATTCCCCACTTACACCCTTTGTCAATGGTTCTGCAATCATATTGGATGAGGGCAAATAACTTACAATTATAGTAACCTCGTTCGTCACAACTATATCTTGCGTTTAGGAGTATTGCGCCACTATGTACCTACCCTTGGAGCTATTTTCCCCACTTTGTATTAATATAATTACGGCTTGATTGTCATAGAACATTTAGATTAGCTCGCCGATTAATTGCAACTTTAATCAAGTACTTTACCTAGACAACCTAAGTACGTGCAATGTATTTTGCTTCCTATGTGTATCAAGCAACACACCCTTGTTTCTTAGGCTACAACTACTCCTCCAAAGACAAAAACATGCCGTGAGGTGGACTTGCTACATCCTTATCTCTAGCAGAATTACCATCTGATTATCCTAGAACATCAAGGTAATATGCTTGAAAACACAACTTAAAATGTTTAGTTCCCTACTTCCCTTAATTTACCTTAAAATTCTTTTTATTTGCTTTCTAATGGGTTTTGTCGGCAAATCTTTGATACCTACTCATAAGGTATACAGCATAGCTCAAATCTGGCTATGTACATTTTACAGCATACACCAAGCTACAAACATCTTTTGCATAGGGAACATTAGGCACTTCTTTTCCTTTTTAATGGGCTATCCTTCTTAGATAATTTTACTCCCTTGACAACAAGAGTGGCCAATGATTTACAATTTTTCATTTTGAATCTCAAGAATAGCTTAAAGTTATCTTTCACAACTCAAACAGCTCATTTTCGACTTTCTATCTCTAGTCATCTTTATCCTAGGATATATTATGTATTACCCACGTCTTTCATATCAAATTGAAAAGAAAACTATGCCTAAGTCGTATCAATCATTTCCAAGTCATTTCCAATCAATCTACATATAAGGAGAGTATGATAAATTTACTCCCACTCTTCAAGACATATACACAATGATCTAGTCTATTCACTTTAAAAGCATTTTTGACAGTTTTAGTAAAGACAATAGGATTAAAAGACATGTTATCGTGCCTTATATACTACAACAAAATAGTGCAACTAAGAGGTATAATAGGGGAAAGGTTTATATGCTTCCCCTACAGCATAGAAGTTCTATCCTCCCCTTACCATCCAGCCGTCCAATTTTGATCAAGAGAACCACTCACCGTTTGATCTTAGATCCGACGTCTCAAAGTATTTTACTTTTTATTTTTTTTATACAAATTGCATGAATATGAAATTTGGTACGTGCAATCTTCTCATTGGGGGGCACCTATAAAAAATATTAAAAATAACTTTTTGATAAAATATAGTGACCAAAATACCCCTTGAAAATTTCAGGGGTATTTTGGTCATTTTATTTTATTGAAACTATCTTTTTTATATTTTTTGCTAGTGCGAGTTTAATAGAAGAATGGACATCCAAAATTTGGTGTCAAAACAGTTTATAAAAAAAAACTAAAAATAAAATAGTGTAGAAACATGATATTCTGATTGGGGCAATCTTAGCCCTCCATTCAGAATTGACGGTTGGATAAGGGAGAGGATAGAACTTCTATGCTGTAGGGGAAGCATAAATAGCTTGCCCATATTATAGTACCCTCCTAAAGATGACTAGGGCCATGATTGCATATGCTAGTCTACCCAAAGTTTTTTGGGTCAAGCATTGAGCACGGCTATGCATATCCTCAACAGAGTTGCAACCAAAGTCATAGTAGACCCTTAAGACAAGTAAGAGACCTGATTTGAACAACTTATAAAAATGAAGACCAACAGCTCATGTTTCGATCCGGGATCAATGCAAAGATAAAGCAAATTTATCGGATACTCCAATGGTTCAAAAGGCTACAGGTTTTACGATAAGGGTAAGGGTAAACTAGACATGTTGAGCTCCTAGAAGACGTTAGCGTAAAATATCCACCTATAGAGGATAATGAAAATCCTTTTCAGATTATATCTTCATACTTTACATTGGATTAGTGATATCTCGATAAATTAAACATCTGATGATATCTTCCACTTTATTGACATAATAAAAGGAAAACAGCTGGACCACAAAAATCATCTACATTCAATTATTATATTTTAATATTCTCTACCATGAATAATGGGTTGGCACAAAATTTCTCAACACTTAAATTGGAAGCAATATTTTTTAAAAATTCTCGGTTTGTTTGAGCAAAAAAATATCTGATTTCTGCCACATCAATATAAAACAAAACATTTTCTCCATTCTGAACGTAAACAAGATGAAAAGGAAGAAATCTACAAAAATTTCTCCCTTAAAATATTGCAAAAAGAATAATCGTTAGTATGGAAATACCCATCAAAAATAAAAGAAATGCAGAGCAGAAATGGAAATGAAAACAAATAAAAGAGAAAACAGAGAGAAGATAGAGAGAGATGGAGAGAAATAAAAGGCAGGAATTATAAAACTTACGTTCCACCAACCCCTCCTGTGGATTCAGAAGAGATGGTAGAGAAAGGAAGCTCACAAACAGCGACCGATGCACCATAATTAGCAGCTGCAAAGCGTGAAGCTCTTACTCCTCCGCTGCCTGCTCCTATGGTGAAGAGATCAAAATCAAAATGAGCGCCGTTATCAACCTCAGCTCTAGTTCTCAGGCGCCTGTAACCGAGGTAAGAAACCCTAGGCCTAGGGCAATGGAAAACAGGGTTTCTGAGAGGGAAATGGAAAGAAGAAGAGGAGATAGTCTGAGAAGAGAAAGTTATGGGAATTCTGGACCGTAGGTTGAAGGTGGCCTTTGCAGCCCCCATTGAAATAGCCATTTTTGTGCCCTAATTCTTAGAATTCTAGGGTCTTTGGGGTTTTTGGCGCAGAGCTCTAATGGCTAACCAGAGAGAGAGGCAGCGATAGTGGAGTGTGGAACGAGAATCGCGAAAAATAATGGATATAGTAATTACTAAAATACCCCTAATCCCTTATGGGCGGCAAAGAATCTCGAGAGAGGTTGTCGCGAAAGGGCGTGCGTTCCCAAATTACGGTGATGACCTTGTTCCCCAACGGAGATAGATTGATAGCTTCATTTCTCTATTATTTCGCTTTTGAATGTTAAAAATAGCTTCATTTCTATATTCACAATAGTTTTTTTTTTGGGTAAGTAAGTGGGGGAGAAAGCCCCCCATCTGTTTTTCTATTATAGTTTTTTTTTTTTTTGGGTAAATAAGTGAGGGAGAAAGCCCTCAATCCGTTTTTCATTAATAAAAGAGCCAGAGAAAAATAATTAACATACAACCTTATAGTAAGGCAATTACACCAGATCATGTCATAAACTAAAAGAAATAAAATCTGATGGTCTATGGCACTACACAGTAGCACCAAGGCCAGTAGATGGCCTCTTAACGAGGGCATCAGCAACTATGTTTGACTCTCAAAAAACATGTGTAATAAATCATCGATGAGAAAAAAGCCTGGTGCAGCAATTATCTGCAATCATCTTTAGCCGTCATGGAGCACTGTATCGATTCTGAATGACATTCACAAATAAGATCGAATCACTTTCTGTCTGTATTGGAAAGCTATTCTTTTTATGAACCAATTGAATTCTTTCCTCAAGTGCCAAAAATTCTGAAATGTTTTGCAAAAGCAGCAATGAAACCGTCATCTATGTTCCTGATGACTCCACCACCACCTGCTAAACCTGGATTTCTAAAGGAAGCACCTGCAATATTAAGCTTGTAATTCTGTGCTTCATGAAAAGATCATGCCACCGGAATAAGATAATCTAACCTCTGCTGACTCCAAGTTATTTGAAGATTACCAATTATGGTTTGTTTTTATAAATGGAAATACGACTTTTTAACTTCTACTAGTGCTGAACATGTAAGATAATCTGTTTCACGATAAGCTCTCTCCTGGTGGGTCTCGACTCAAATACTCTTCTATTGCGCTCTTCCCATAAAAACCAAATAGCAGTAAAAAAAGATGAAAGACCAAATATTACAAAGTCCATGTAATTTAAACCTAAAAAGTAATCATCACCTAGGTACATCAGGGACAGAAGTACCGAGGGCAAACCGTTATCCACATCTTCATGCAAATGATCTCCATACACCCTGTGCAAAAGCACATTGGCATAATAAGTGAATAAGGCGGTCTTCATGGTTGCTACAAAAGGGACAGAAATAGTTGAGTTGCATACCCCGCTGCTACAATAAAAATGAGGTGGGCAATCGATTATGCAAGGCCAGCCATGAGAACCATTTCGCCTATCAGTAGCATTTAGAGGACCAAAGTGCACGAAAAATAGGTTGTGATGAACCTTGATGCCTAATAAAATCCCATGCCCTTTTAATAGAAAATAGACCATCAACAAAGTGAATCCAAACCGGAGAATCCTTTTTGGGTTGTAGAGGAAGAGTATAATTCTCAACTTCCCTCCATATATTTCTCAAAAAATCAAATGTGGGATGTGGCAGAACCCAAGATTGAAGTGAACCTCCGATAAAGTCTGAAGCCTTCCTCCCTACAGTAGCCCCCAAATCCTCTTGAATGTCATTATCATGCAAATCTGAAAGTGACTGACCTGCTAACCATGGTTCCACCTATAAATCCACCATCTGATCATTACCAATATTCCAATGTACATTGCCTTTCAAATGAAATAACCCAAGTAAAATCCCATTCCATGGACGAAAACATTTTCTACTTCCTTCAACCTCCCATGTAGAGAAATTTATAAAATATCGATGTTTGAAGAACCGTGCCAACAATGATGATGGAGTTTCCAAAATCCTCCATGCTAACTTCATCATTCATGCGATATTGAAATCCACCATTTTCCTTACCCCAAAACCTACTTTAGCCAGAGTCTGACACATTGTTTTTCATTTTATAAAATGAACACATTTTTTCTCTGCTTCACCGGCCCATAAGAAGTTCCTTTGCAGTCTCTTATCATATTATATGTTTTCTTCGGAAGAAAAAAGTTGCCCCATTTTTCGATTTGTGCGTGTCATCCTTATGCAGGGGCCATGCTAATCTTCTCTCTCTCCTTATATTTGGGAGAAAGTTGTGTTTTTAATGGTTCAAAAATTCAACTAGGGAAAGATCTTGGGCTTAATTGGTTCGAGCTTGACGATTTGCAAGGCTATGTTCCAGGCTCAATTCCTATCAAGAGAAGGGGCCCTCACCCCATTGACTCACCAACACCAAAAAAAAAAATTTGATTAGAAAGGCCTTCCAAAAATTCAGCCTTGATGGATATGAATTGGATTAATTCTCAGGTGTGTGATTCAGCTCAAAATAATAATAATAATAATAATATTGATTTGAAAAATAAAGTTTCGAAAAAACAAACTATAAAAACAAAAAAAAAATGAGTGGGAACTAAGTGCTGCACACGATCCAAATAGTTCAATTCTCTAATAGACTCGCCTAATTCTCTGGTAATCGAATTGATTCCCAGTTCCAAAAAACAAACTATAAAAAAAAAAAAAATGAGTGGGAACTAAGTGCTTCACACTATCCAAATGGTTCAATTCTCTAATAGACTCGCCTAATTCTCTGGTAATCGAATTGATTCCCAGTTCCAACAAAGAACCAAGTCATTATTTTGAAAAATAAAATTTAGAAAAAACAGATAAATAAAAAATAAAATAGGTAGAAACTAGATGATTCACGTGATGAAAAATAGTTCAGTTCTCTAATAAACTCGCTCAATTTTCTGACAGGTGCAGTTTGTATAGAGCCGTAGCACTAAACAATCAAATTAGAGCCCACCTTCAAATAGTATTGAGAAATATGGTTTCAATACTGAAAATTTTTGTGATGGCATTGAATTATATTTTCATCTTTAGTTATAAAATTTAAAGCTTAAAAAATGGTATAGATGAGTAGATCTATGAAAACTTGAAAATCTTGAAAATCGATGGTCCAAAAATGAGTTACAAGATGCACTATTTTCTAAACTTGAAATCCATATCTTTCTTATGTTTGTGCATCTTGATGTTGAGATAGTCAATTTGATGATATTTGAGCATCAAAACAACCTATCCTTTTAATGTAGGCTCCAATTTGATTGTTTAAAGCCTAGGCTCTATATTAACTTTTTCCTTCTTTGACATGATTGAGCATGTCCATGGGAATCGAATTCATTCCTAGTTCCAACAAAGAACCAAGCCATTCATTTGAAAACTAAATTTAGTAAAAACAGACGACAAAAGATAAAAAGAAAAAGTTTATATAAAGTTACAACAGTAAAATGTAGAATCACAGATGCACCTCAAAAATCTATTGAAACTGTTGTTTTAGTATTGAAAAAGCCCTCTAATCAATCATCTCGACATCAAGATCTATGAATATGAAAAAAAAAAAAAGTTTTTGAATCTCGAAAATAGTGCATCTTATAACACATTATTTAGACCGTCCATTTTCAAGATTTTCATATATTTATAGATCTACTTGATTTTAACCTTTTTTTATATTTAAAATTTTATAAGTAGGTATGAAAATAGATTTCAAGATAATATTAAGAATTTTTTACAACAAAATTACATGTTATGATAAAATTTTAAGGTGCGCCTTAATTGGATTGTTTAAGGTTGCGACCTTATAGAAACCGTACCCTAAATAAAATGGGTTGGAACTAGACGATTCGCGTAATCCAAAATAATTCAGTTCTCTAATAGAGTCACCCATTTCGCTATCATAATCGATCTCTCACATGGTCGACCATGTCCATGGGAATCAAATTGATTACCAGTTCCAATTTTCACATCTCATGTTTCTTCCAATAAAAAGAACAGAAAAGAATGGGCTTTTACCGGTATGATTTTTATCCTGATGCAGATCTTTTAGTGTATTGGAGTGAGCAATCCAAGAATCCATCTTCATTGTTTTCTTGATTCAAAGCATGGTGACAAAGTTCAAAGAAAAAAAAAGGATGCCGATTTATGTTGCCAAAGTTTAAAAGGAAAAGAAAACGGCCGGGCTGATGAATCGGACCGGCAAATTTTGAGGACAGGTTTTTAAGAATGTTTCCCCAAGTTCACGGTTGTGGGGTAGAATGGCAGCACTCTAAAAAGGCAGGTTATCAGGATCATTTGAGGAAAAGAATACGTGAAAGAACGTTCAAAAAAAAAAAACAGAATACGTGACAGAAGCAAATTCATTGATGCTTGATCATACGTAAAAGAATCATTTGGGCATTAGATTTTTATTGCACCAGTAACACGAGGTTCTCATGACCAGTGTTTCATTTTTTTAATTTTTTTTTGCATTTAAGCTTTCGAACTCAATTTTAAAGTGTCATGCATTGTATTTTGTATTGTTTCTCTCGATCTCGGCTTCATTTTGTATAGTGGGAAAGGTGTCTATACTCTCGGCTACATTTTGTTTAGTGGGAAAGGTGTCTATACTTTCCCTATAATGTAAAAGATCTATGCTTCCCCTACCATCCAATTGTCCAATTTTGATCATGTAAACCACTCTCTATTTGATCTTAGATCCGACGCTTCAAAGTATTTTATGTTTAATTTTTTTATACAAATTTCATGAATATAAAATTTGAATGGTGCCATCTTCTCATTGCGGCGCACATACAAAAAATATTAACAATTATTTTTAATAAAACATAATGACCAAAACAACCCTTGAAAGTTTCAAGAGTATTTTGATCATTTTATTTTATTGAGAATATTATTTTAATATTTTTTACAAGCATGTGTTTAATAGAGGATTGGATGCTCAAACTTGTAGGGATGTGACATTGTGATTGGGGCAATCTTAGCCCATATGCTTTATGCTGTAGATGATTCATAGAAAGCTTGGCCTTGTTTAGTAGCCACAGTGAGTATATTGTTTGTGAAGGGTTGTATTTTTTTCTTTTGTATAAATAAATAAAAGTGCATATTGTCATAAAAGAAAAGAAAAAAAAAAAAAAGAAGAAGTTCAAAGTTATAATGGTGGATGATTCTACAATGGTGAGTAATTGGTGTAAAGGAACAGCTTAGGGCCGTTGAGTATGCTGTCAAAAATCGATGAGATCAGACATGCGTTACGACACAAAATAATGAAATTCATTTATAAAAATAAAAAACCGCACATATTTTTTATTTTATTAAAAGATATAGAAAAAGATAAATCGAAAATCCAAACCATCATATATACAAAGAAGCCTTATTTATCATGAATATTCTATTATCCAACAATAGCCTTGAGTTACTCACTGTACAAAATACTAGCAAGAAAACCTATTCATATCAAGCATCACAAAAGAAAAACAACGCAAGCTCCAAACGTTTTGCAATATTAAAAAATAGGAACATAAATAAATGCAAACTCCAGGTTCATTCTTTAAAGTTGTTATAGTTGTAAATTATTTTTTACAATCTGATGTTTTAAAATACCATAAATTATTTCTGAATAGTAAAAATTGTAATGAAAACATGGCAAAAAAACAAACCTAGATCCTCTTGTATATCAACATGAATGATTTTCTAAATAACAAATTATTTTTTCACTAAGAAGGATCAGGGCATTTCTCAATTACTGTATCCTTGCAAAAAGACCATGGTCAATATTAGCTGCAATGTCCCAATTTTATTAAATACTTAATTAGAAATTCAATATTAAAAATATAAAATTTCTGGAAGGTCATATATCTCTTATCACATATTTTATTTTTAAATTATCATAAATATCTTTTAACACAAATTTATAACTAAAAAACCCAAACTTTGTTTCAAATAGGACAACCAAAACAAAAATTCAATTTTAAAATAATTTATTTTAAATTAGTATAATTATAAACTATTATAATTTAATATTTTAATTCACAAAATTGTTTTTTAGAGAATGAAAGTTTGTAATTAAAATTTGCTAAATTAGGAAAGGCATCATATAGCTTGGTTTCAGGCCATTGAAATGGTATAAATTATTGTCAAATAGTAAACCTGCAATTAACAATTTAAATTAGGAAGGTAGTACATTACTTTTCAAATCCCTTTTTTTTAATTAATATACTCGTTTTCAAATAACAAAATTAACTCATAAATTACTCCAAAAAATTGAGAAGGTGATACATTATTCAAATTCAAAGGAGTTCTATGAAATTAGGAATTTATCCTAATTCAATATATAAGAAAACTTTATAGGACTCAAGATAGAATTATTAAATCCAACAAAACCAACGCCTCCAGCATGTAACAAAAACCTCATACTTAGTGCGCCATTGTAGATAGGAAATCAAACAAGTTGAATGGCCCTTTTTGCATAATAATGACACAAAAACTTTAGTATATGTAACATAGATGCTTCCAATACCAAATACAAAGCCCAGGCATAATGGCAAAAGTTCAGGCACTCAAAGCCTCATCAAAGAGAAACAGAGTACTGTAGGTGCAAAGGTTAGACCATTTCTTCCTAAAAAGAACCTAGGGAAAAAGAGAAAGAGCCTCACTTTTCCGTAGCCAAATAAGATAACATGAAATTGTTAACAGATAAAAGACTAGTGTCAACAGAATAAACACACTAGAAAGCATTTAAAGATATAGAATCGAATACAGTTCTTAAAAACATGGTTTCCATTTATAACAAATGAATCTCAACATAAGAGCATGTACATTGGTTAGGACGGCAAACTATATGGCTGGTTGAAAATCAGCATCCCTTCACTGAAAGCCACATAGTAATGAGCAAAACAGCAACAATGGCTCCACAATCTAATAATTTAAAGATCTGAACCTCCAGATTTCAGGTTCCCATCCCTATATTTAGTAGAGAGAGAGAGAGGATGAACTAAATCTTTGACAACAGAAAACTACTGAGCATGAAGTTGCATTTATGTGTGTTTGTGTGTGTGAGTGTGTATGTGAGAGAGAGAGAAAGACATGAGTTTAACTATCCAGTAGCAATCTATGCTCAGTGAGCCTACACACACACATACCCAAATGATATATATATATATATATATATATATAGAGAGAGAGAGAGAGAGAGAGAGAGAGAGAGAGAGAGAGAGAGAGAGAAGGAAGGAAGAGAGAGAGAGAGAGAGAGAGAGAGTATAGACA